CGCCGCCCCCCACACACCACTTGCACGCTCGTTTGCACGCTCCGTTGCACATGCAGACCCCGTTGCACGACACTGTGGTGTCTGCACGTCCCATAGTGCTCCACAGTGCCCCACAGTGCCATCCATAGTGCTCCATAGTGCCCCATAGTGCCCCATAGCAGCCCATAGTGCTCTATAGTGCCCCATAGTGCCCCATAGTGCTCTATAGTGCCCCATAGTGCCCCACAGAGCACCATAGTGCCCCACAGCGCTTCCCATAGTGCCCCATAGTGCCCCACACGCAGCCCATAGAGCTCTGTAGTGCTCTACAGTGCCCCATAGTGCCCCACACGCAGCCCACAGTGCTCTATAGTGCCCCATAGTGCCCCATAGTGCCCCACACGCAGCCCATAGTGCTCTATAGTGCTCTATAGTGCTCCATAGTGCACAGTAGCACTACAATAGTGCCCCATAGTGTCCCATAGTGCCCCACAGCGCAGCCCATAGTGCCCCATAGTGCCCCATAGTGCTCTATAGTGCCCCATAGTGCCCCACATGCAGCCCATAGTGCTCTATAGTGCTCCATAGTGCCGCATAGTAGCACTCCCATAGTGCCCCACACGCAGCCCATAGTGCTCTATAGTGCTCCATAGTGCCCTATAGTGCTCTATAGTGCCCCATAGTGCCCCACATGCAGCCCATAGTGCTCTATAGTGCTCCATAGTGCCGCATAGTAGCACTACAATAGTGCCCCACAGAGCACCACAGTGCCCCACAGCGCTGCCCATAGTGCTCTATAGTGCTCTATAGTGCCCCATAGTGCCCCATAGTGCCCCACAGCGCTGCCCATAGTGCTCTATAGTGCCCCACAGTGCTCCATAGTGCCCCATAGTGCCCCAGACGCATACCATAGTGCTCTATAGTGCCCCATAGTGCCCCACAGTGCTCTAAAATGCCCCATAGTGCCCCACATGCAGCCCATAGAGCTCTATAGTGCCCCATAGTGCCCCATAGTGCCCAGCAGCACTACAATAGTGCCCCACAGAGCACCATAGTGCCCCACAGTGCTGCCCATAGTGCCCCATAGTGCTCCATAGTGCTCCATAGTGCTCCATAGTGCCCCATAGTGCCCCATAGTGCTCCATAGTGCTCTATAGTGCTCCATAGTGCCCCACAGTGCCCCACAGTGCCGCACACGCAGCCCATAGTGCCCCATAGTGCCCCATAGTGCC